CCGCCCGCGGCGCCGCCGGGGGGCCCCCGCCGCCGCCGCCCCCTGGGTCCTCCTCCCCCAGCAGCAGCAGCGGCGAGGCCCGCATCGCGGCCGCCGCCTCGCCGAAGAGCACCGAGGGCAGCATCCGGAAGGGAGCGCGGCCCTCCCGCGCCGCCACCGCTGAGGTAAAAATTTTAGCCCAAGATTTATTTTTAAAAAAAAAAAACACGGCGGTTTTAAAAATCTTTCTTTCTCTCTCTGTCTCTTTCTTGGGTTTTCCTGAGGTAAACTCCTCTCCTTTCCTCCCCCCTTCGGCGCCGCGTTCGGAATTTCAGCCGTTAAAAGGCGGCGGTTGGGGAATAACGGTCGCCGCCGGAATGAGGGGGGAGGGCTCGGACGCCCCCAACGTTCGGAGCCGCCATGTTGGGGAGGGCGAGGGGAAGGGGCGCGCGCCGCTCCGTCCCGAAGGCTTGGGGTGGACTCGATGGCCGGGCCCCGCAGGAGTCAAGGGAGGGGGCGATAGAGGCGGCGGCGGAAGGAGAGACGCGTCGCCTCTGCAGTGCTCGCCGGCGACTAACCCGGCGGAGGCGGCCCCTGACGGGCTATTGGGGTTGGCGCCGAGGGGTGGGGCTGAGGGAGGGAGGAGGCCACGCCCCCTCTCCCTCGGCCGCCGCAGCGCCGGGCTCCTCTCAATCTCAGGCCGGCCCAGGCCACGCCTCTGAGAGCGCGGCCACGCCTGCGGTGACGTCTCCCGACTCCGCCCCCTCCTCTGCGCAGCCTTCCCTCGGCGTTGCGGTCCTGGACGGACGGCGCCGGCCACGCCCCCTCGCCGTGCGCCGGGCTCCACGTGGGGCACGCCCCCCGGCCACGCCCCCGAGCCGCATGGGTTGCGCACGTGCGCTGGACAGTGTCGCTTCCTCGGGGATTGATGGATTGATTGATTGATTGATTGATTGATGGGTGTTGCTTCATTTGGCTTCGGAACTATCCGTGCCCGCGTGTCAGGGCAGAAGCAGAACTCTGCTTGAGGAGATAGAGGCTGGGATGGGAGATATAAGGGGAAGACCGAGGGATATTCCGGGCGGTTGGGAGTGGGTGTGGATGGAGGATCCGTGGACCCACAAATGGGAACAAGTCCGGGTGCCACATGAGGAGGCAGAGAGACGCCGACAGCTAGGGCTGAAGCCTCGTCCGTCTTACTGGGGTGAGACGGAGGCGAAAGAGTGGCGTAGGAAGCTTAGAGAAGAAAGGGAGGCGGTGGCTCGGGAGCTGGAAAGGAAACGCCAATGGCACATCGCCGAACTGAGGAAACTGGGGGGCTACCCGGGCCCTGGGGCTACACCATAGAAGATGGGTCCTCCTGGGACGGTTGGAGCGGCGACGAGGAGACCCTTCCCTTAATCTCCTTGGAAGAAGAAACGAACCCTGGACCGGGACCTGTGCCGCCTTCAACAGGTCCCTGGAACCCAGAGAACTCTAACCCATTTGTACATAGTTTATGGACCCCTCCCAAACCGAACCCGGGTCTCCAAATGTCCCTGAACCCGTTTATGGGAACCGTTAATGATGACGTTAAGGTAGAAATAAACACGTTGCCGTTTGACTTGCCTCAAGAGTCTCGTCCATTCATTGGAGAGGGGACAGCCCGCCTACACGAACCCTCACAGATTGATTGATGGGTGTTGCTTCATTCGGCTTCGGAACCATCCGTGCCCCGCGTGTCAGGGCAGAAGCAGCACTCTGCTTCTGCTCAGAGGCACCCTTGCCTTCCAGAGCCAAGCGCCTTGTGAGACCTGGATGGCTTTACAGAGGCTGTGATGGCGCGAAAGGACCCAGAGACGTTGTCCCAGTGCCCGCACTCGGCCTGGCCTCTCCTCCAAGAAGCAGCTCCCCGATCGCTCCGGGGTTTGAATGTCTGGCTGCGGAGCCAGAGGTGGGGAGTTCGAATCCCCCACTGAACCTCCCTGGCAGGAGCTGGACCCCAAGATCCATCAGGTCCCCTTGCCGCTCTGAGATAATGATGATGATTGTCCATGTGCCTGGAAGAGGGGTAGGGCTCCCTGCAGTGTAAGCCTGTGTGGATTGTAGCCCAGTAGGGAACTCTTTGTGTTTGCTGAGGATGAAAACCCTCGTGGGAGGCACCACCGCGTCTCCTTACAGAGAAAAAAGACCAACAGGTTGTAATGCCACTTGGGGACTTTCCTCTCTCTCTCTCTCTCTCTCTCTCTCTCTCTCTCTCTCAGTCTCCTTACAGAGAAAAAACACCAACAGGTCGTAATGCCACTTGGGGACTTGCCTCTCTCTTTTTTTGGGGGACTGCTGCTGCCTGTGTGTCTTCTGCCTGTTCCCTCTCCAACCAGGAGATAAAGCTGTCCACTTTGTCTTCCCTCAGCTGGCTGACAAGTTAGACCCGGGTTTTCCTGTCTTTGCCTGTTGCCTCTCCAACCAGGAGGTAAAGCTGTCCACTTTGTCTTCCCTCGGCTGGCTGACAAGTTAGACCCGGGTTTTCCCTTGTCAAAAGTACGCGCTCGAAGCTCCCTCCCTTTCTTGTCCCCAACGGAGGGAGGTCAGTCCAGGTGACACCTACGGCGGGGGGGGTGTTTTCTGCCTGAGTCTCACCTGAACGTCTGCAGAGTGCAGAGACCTTTCCTGTCTCCCTCCATCTCGAGACATGGTGTCACCCCAGCATCCTTTGGGTTCTGACTGGAGGGGGAGAGCTTTTGAGGCACAGTCGGCCCCACTGGCCCCCTGACAAGCATCCCATTGGCTTCCTTTGCACATACGGACCCCACCTTTCCTCCACCGGTCTCAAGATGCAGGTTCCTGTACTCACAACAACCCTGCGAGGTAGAGGTTCGGATGAGGAGCAATGGCCTGCCTGGAGGACCCCTCATGAGCCTGAATGTTACTTAGGCCAGCTTTAGAATCTATCGAAACACTGCTGTTCCTGTGAGCTGGAGGAGGCGGTCAGCCATCAACAGAGGCACACCAGACCGTTAAGAGCCCTCCAGGTTTTTGTGTTTCTCCCAAGCCGGGGGGGGGGGGGGGGGGGGGGCCAACGGCCTAGGAGTTGCTCTGTTAAGCCCATCCACAAAAGCAGTGGGTTTGTTTTTATCAGGGACTGGAGATTCGCCATGCAGCCTCCTTTCTCCTTCTGCTTGCAAACACGCACACACACACAGAGAGAGAAAGAAGCACCAACGCACACACGGCTGCCCTGGTTGACAGAGGGAACATTGTGTGGAAGGAAGGCTGGCTGCCTCTCTCTCTCTCTCTCTCTCTCTCCCCGGCCAGCCAGTCCAGAGTCTGTCGTGGTTGCTGCTGACGTACCAGGGAGCCGGACAGCTTCTGCATTGTGAGCCTTGCACAGGACGTTTCTGGTGTGGAGCTGGAGAGCGGGAAGCAAGGAAAAGACATGCCCAGGCCCGGCACGGTTCACTGCGAAAGAGCCGGCGTCGTTTATCTGACCTCTGCTAAGAGGGGGACTCCGGATCTCACGCAGTCCCACATGGTCCGCCTTATAACCCATGTGTGTGATTCACGAGTATCTCCTCTGCTTTTCGTGGAGTTAACAGATGCTAATCCAGCTGGTCTGTAAAATGGCGCGAGGAAGCAACAACTTCCACAAAGCACCTAAACCGGCTTCCTGCTTCCCACAGCAACTTGCTAGGGTTACACAAACGCTATCTTTCCAACACAGGACTGGCTTTCAGACAAACAGATTCCATGCTGATGTCCCCTTCGGAGGCTGTCGCAGGGAACAGCCCTGCCCCAGGTGTGCCCATTGGCTAAGCCTCTGTGATGTCCCAGAATGGCCAGAAAACAGGGCAGAAGTCCCAGCCACGGAATATTAACAGGCAAGCCACCTGGTGGGGAGCAAAATGAAAGGTCAGTTTGGATCCAGCAAGAATAAATAATTAAAACGACAATGAGCAGGACCTCTTAACCTGGGCTGAGAAAGCAAAACAGGCAGGCAGGCAGAATCTGCTGTGTGTGCTTTCAGCATACCTTAGGCGTACAAGCTGCTTGAGTTTGCTGAAATAATTACACTGGGCGGGTGTGGTAATCGGGACCAGAGACAGGTGTTACACAGAGGGGTAAGGCCATAAAGAGTCATTGTGATTCCAGAGCCTCCTTAAGCCCGAAGTATGTGCTGAGGCAATGACAGCTGCCCTGATTAGTTTGGGAGCTGCCAAGAGCAGAGGTATTCTACCTAAGCATTAATTTGCTGGAACATTAAATACTAGGATTGACATCTGAGTCACACGATGCCCGCAGAGAACTGATGGGAAAAACATGTGGAACCTGGAAAGGAAGCAACGTTCCTAGCCGGACCGAAGGTGCCCCAGCGTGTCTCTGCGTGATCTACTGTTCTTGATAAAACAATAAACTGATCTGGTGTGTGCTGTGCCTCAGTCTGTCCATCCAAAAGATGAGGCAGTGAAGTCCCTTTAGCTCCTGGCTAATGTTTAAGCTACTGCCTCGCTGTTGCGCTGTGTGGCTTCATCCTCCAAGAAAGCGTCAGAGCATGAATCCATAACCTCCCGAGAAGGATTCCTTCTTCCAAAACTTGGAAGACAATAGAACGCTTTGTCTCACCGGAGACTCCCTCCGGCAGCAAACCGGATGTGCTGCCACGGAGCCACCAGGGTTTCACGGGGGGGGGCAGGCTTTTTTCTCTAGAAGCCTTTGGTCTCTGGGGCAGAACGGCCTTGTGGGCTGCTCCCCATGATTGCTCAGGATGTTTTGCCAGAGGGAAACCCATGAGACCTTCTGGACTGCTTTGCCCCCACTGTTAACTTTTTCCTTCTCAAGATCAGACCCACGCTGTAAATCTGATGCAAAATCCAACTTGTACTCGTCTAGTCGTTTAGTCGTGTCTGACTGTTCGTGACCCCATGGACCAGAGCACGCCAGG